ATAGTTTACATTGCCATTAATAATTTCATTGATGGTCATTTGTTCATATTCATCCTCTACGGATGATATCGATTCATTAGCATTTGCATGCCCATTTAGACGGGAGTTATCTGAAGAATTCGATGCCCCTTCACCAGGTATTGATGGAGACTCTAAATAGATTATTCATGATGAGATTTGAAAGTTATGCATAATTATATTATTTTCAACTAGAATATTATTATGTTACATGTTTAAGACAATATATAGATGCATAACGTACCATTTTCATGAGTATTGTCACCATCATTAACTATGTTACTTTCCGCAAACACATTTTTTCTGAACCAGAATTTTTCACTCATTGCTGCATCTCGCTTATGAGCAATCTTCATGTTTTCATCTACCTGTTTAATAAAATAATTATTATGATCATGTGCTTTTCATATGAACAAGAATAAATAAATTTACTTTTGATATTGGTATGTAAAAATTTAGTCCATAGCTCAAGATAACACGTGTTAAAAGCACAATGAAAATTGCAAATGCTGCATTTTCAAAATCGGTTATTTGAACTTCCATACTGCGAAATTCGACTCTCCATCCAATATTTGAATTTGGTGGTGGAGGCTTAAAACGCATAGTTTGCCAGTTTGTAGATTGAATATTCTACGAATATTTGGATATTAAGGGTAATTTTTATTGAATAAATTACTGATGAGATTTAAGTAAGATATCAAATGCTATGATGAAAACTAACTTCAAAGTGGTCATAATAATCGTCATCATCATGCTCCAACCGTTCTTTGAAGATAACAAGAGGATCACGAATGAACAGATGAGATATGTGACGTGCCAACAATTCATCAATTCCTAACGAGAAGCAAAATTAGTAAATCTTTTTAAAAAATTAAATATCATTCAATACCAGTTATCAGATACAAACCATTGCCCATCAATTTTTTGCAAATATCACTATCATATACCAAATCCAGGTCATTATATTCCGGTTTCAAAGTCTTGTCTGTGGATATGTAGCAATCAATCGAATCATAACGCGATTTATTAATCACAAAACGGTCATGTTTGAGGGGCTGTGAAAAAAACCCTATAGCTTGTTAAATGAGTCAGGGCTTCGACATATTTGAATCACACAAGATAGTAACCAGTTTTTGAGATTAAAAATAAACCTCTAAACTCCGTTCTTCTCTTGTACGATCATCGACACTTCCGGCTATTACATTCCATCTACAATCTATATCTGAAAGGTAACCACGCCAGATTGGTGCAGATGCAGTTAAAGCTAGCTATAAATTTATTTAAATGCGTAGTTAACAAACTTTCAACTACACAGATGGAGTTTGTGACATAAATAGAATAGTTACCATAATAGGACCCATTACCGCCAGTTGATCATATAGTCTTCTGGCTTCTTCAGCGTTGCAAGCTTGAAAAGTAATTTGTAAACAACAGCAACCCATTCCAAAAACCATAGCATCCATATATATATGATCCGATTGCGCTGCGCCTTCTGCAGCTTCTTTATCCTCGGGAAATAAATTTCGATTTAGAGGAATTGCCGTATCTATAAATGGATCGGGTGTACATTTATCGCGAAAAATTGGCACATTAATAGCAACCTTCGATCCACGACGTTCTCGAATATTGGCAGTTAGAGTCCTGTTTAATATGAAAATTTATTAAAGTATAATCTTAAAAAAAAAAAAAAAAACACTGTCAATGATGATATATAAAGATATCGTACGGAAATCTAACGTGTGGGTTAATAACTTCGTCAGGTACAAACAGACTTCTCGCTGCATTTCCTGCTGGCTCATAGTGAGGTTCCAGAAATTGGCCTGAAGCACCAAGACGTGGAAAGCTAGTCAAAGTAATTGCTACTTCATTTGGCCTCAAAAATTTTGAAATAATTTCTCTTCTCAATTTCATATTTGGCTCTATTTGAAGCAGGCTTTTCAAAGTACCACCATAAGGTGTGCCCGGTGTGCCTAAATTAACATCAATGCATGGTAAGAACAACAGCTGAAAAGTGAATCTGTGATAAGCATTAACAATACCTTCGAGCATGTATCTTCCATACTCTGGTCTCCATAAAGTCTTGATCGTTTGTCTAGAGGATAATATAAAAATGTTAAATTCTATATATATTTTTTGATTAATCAATGTAAAAGTAATTTACTCAGAATTAGGCATTTTCAGTGCTTCTTCCTCCTCTTTTTGTAATTCAGCCAAGATTTCGTGAACTCTTAATGATAACTTCGCATTCTTCGTTTCATCATCATACTCAATAACCATATATTCAACCTACAAAGCAATAGATTAATCAGCAAAACAGATGACCAAAATACAACAACAGTGTAAAAAGAAAATTGCCTCGTCGCCCCATTTTAAACAAGCATTTTCCTTTTCTTTCAGTTTCTTGTAAACAGATACAAAATAGTTTATTCCGAGAGCTCGAATTTTATGTGCATATTGTTTTGCCTCTTCCCATTGAAGAGGTGTGCCTGATGACGATAATAATCCCATGTTATAAGATTTTTTTATACTGATAGCAATAAGAATTACGGAATTCGTAAAAATTAAAAAAAATTAAAAGAATTACGAAATTATATGATGAGAATTTACCGTTTGATATGTAATTAAAAAAAATTAAAAGATGATGAGAATTTACCGTTTGATATGTAATGTCTTAATGAAGCAAGTATTGTGTAATATTTGTCACGTACGACAACGGTTGAGATGTTTATCA